CTTTGCCATTGGGGAGGAATCTGCACAGGAACAAGGTTCTATCTTCTTATACTACATACACAATTATTTTCCTCCAGTTTATTTGTCTTGGGGATCTTGTTGCTTCATGCCTTAATAGTAATGATGGAGTACAGAAAGAAATCGGTGTGACAGATTTCCACAGCTTTGATCATTATCTCTGACATTCTGAATAACTGATAATAGATAACAGAACATTGTCATTTACATTAGGCTGTGAACAGCATAACTCTTCATCTCAGCATTTTTTCATCATGCCAAGTCTACCATTTCCTGATCCAGTTCTTAATAATTCTGATTAATTTTCCTGCAAGAGTGGATATTCTAATCTAAATACTGCAAACTGTTAATCCCAGAATATTTCAAAGTTAATCAAAATAGTAGATTCCTTCATTCTCTGACATAAGGCCAAATTCTGTTTTAACTTTCTGTGCCTCAGTAGTACTTACAGCCACATAAGTGCAATTTTTGGCACTTACAGACTTTAGATTTTGTTTCCTCTTGCATAACTGCACTCACCCTGTACCTCAGGCTCAGAAGATTCACTATGACTGCCTATGGCAAAATAGAAGTAAAACTGAATTTTGCCTATGGCAAAATCTTGGCTAAGGTAAAATAGAATCACCTGGGTACACATATAACTGCATGGAAACCCTTGCAACTTTAGCTGGAGAAAAACCATAGCAAGTGATTTGTGACATTGCCCAAAGAACTTGATTATGAGAGTACTTGGCTGCGAAATGGGAGATGCAGGTTTCCCCACTCTCTGAGTGAGAGGGGCTAGAACCCTGGTCTTCCTCCACCTGGGCAATTTTCCTTAGTATTAGACAACTGGGCTAAAAGGCAGAGGATCTGCCTCTTCCTCCTCCCTGTCCCTTCAGGTACTTACACGTTTACCTGGGTGATCCTGTTCTGCTACAGGTAGAGACAGGATTTGGCCCTTGGACTAGGACAGTGCTATTCAACTTCCAGGCAGGCAGGTACTGCAGAGCTATGGGCTACATGCCAGAGAGGCCACGTGCATTGTGGATGAGCAGTAAGGTGCCCCCCTCAGATCCCTCCCACTACATGGGCTGCCCAGCATACCCCACAGTATGAGCAGCCTTGCTCCCCCCTTCACCCATCTATGTTCACCATGTGGGCATGCACCCCCTGCAGCACCTGCAACCCCACTGACCCCTGCCACACACATAGCACCTATCCCAACCCCTCCCCCAAGCCACACACACCATCTACCTGCTAC